AGAAGACTTCTGGACAAACAGGAAGAACTGCCACCGAAACTGAATATGTGACGTGGATCATTAATATATCAGCAATTAAACAACATCTTCAATTTCTCTTCACAATATACGTCTCCTTGCAGTTTCAATACTAATTCGGCTGACTTTTATATTTGATCCAATTGGTAGATAGGCTATATTTACACCATACCGGTGCACAGCTGATAGAAAGGGACACCTGGTGGTTGAAGCACGTTATTGAAAAGTATTATTTTTATTATTAGATATTAATAGGAGACACAGACAGACAAACTAATAAGGCTTTATTTAAACATTAAAGAATACTTTATTAAGGTCTTATTTTGAATAAGAAAAAAGCTTTGGGGGTATAAATATTAAGCCAGACAAAGTACTAATATATTGCTTTCCTGCAATGTTAACTACTGTATGATATTATACATATGTATTATACTCTTATAAGATGTATGTGGATAGTATAATAAATATGCAGAATACGACAGTTTAATGGTGGAGGTATAGACACATATTGATAGATGTCTTGTAAAGCACTGTTGAGGAACCTGCGACCGAAGTTTTTCATCTCCGACCTTGTCAGGTATTGAACATTCAATAAATAAAGAACACAGAATTATTAAATATAAAACACAGAATTTGTGTGATTATACTAAATGATTTACAAATAAACACCACTGCATATTTACAACTGTTACACATGCTGATGTAATGCAAATGTTTCCAAATTGGGATCAATAAAGTATATCTTATCTTAAGATGATCAATGGCTACTGCAATATTTGCAAAATGTGCCTCTGAACTTTGACAAGTGCATGTTTCAGGCTTATCAATGCATTTTTGAAAAGAATGTTCCTTTTTATGCTTGTGTGGGTTTCTATATTATTTCACTCACAGACATAAGACCAGCTGTTAAATAAAGCTCTTCTGACCTTAGCTGGCATGTGGGTATATATTAATGCTGCCCATTATGGGCACAAGCAATTTTCACCCATTTATTAAGGCGAGACACCCCAGGTGAATAGGGTAATTTTTTTTAAACTTAAAGGTATCAGCTAGACATTTCTCCAGTTAATTACTTACAATAAGGCAATTGTTTTTTGTATTACAAGTTTTCTGAAATAGCATGTTTAAATATGCAAATGAACCATTATCTCATTAAATATGCACATATTTTAACACATTTCAGGAATCGAAATCTGAACTTTGGATAAAGCCAGGTTCAAAATTCTTGTTTCATTTTGTAGTCATATTAGTATCTAAGGCTTTTACAGAAGGGATATTGGTAATCTCCTTTTATCACTCCATAAATCAGAAAATACTGTCAACAGCCCTAAAATATCAATTTTCGCCATGTTATTAGGTATACAATAGGGGTGTAACGGTTTCCGTATTCGTCCCGTACCGTCACGGTTCGGACGTCACGGTTCGGCACATGCAGTCACACGACGAATACGCCTTTTTTTTTAACGAGTGGGAAAAAAGTCTGTCATTCAGGGCAGTATTACACTATATATAATCCTTGGGGGGGGGCCGCGGTATTGCACCTAAAAGCTGTTTGCCAGCCGCCCTTAAACAACAAATGAAGAACAAGAATAAACGCAACAACAAAACCAACAAAACGAACAAAATACAAGAAGAAGAAAAGTTAGTATGGCGATTTCAGATAACACACAGGAGCTAGAACCCACCTGCTTCTTTTAAATCAGCTGTGTGGGAACATTTTGGGTTCCCTGTGGACTACAACAACGATGAAGTGTGCGAGTGGTGGATCGGACGAGGACGGTGTGTCGTCGTTGTTAGACAGCGGTGCGGTATGCTAATGATAACACACGCCAAACATGCTAAATCATATCAGAAGGCATCACCCAGATTTGCCAATCACCGGAGCCCGGCAAAAGACAACAGCAGTTCAACAGCTTATCCCCGCTGTTTTTAAGAAGCCAATAGGCATGAAAGCCGTGAGACCAAAAGACATAACGGAAGCTTTTGGCATATATTTCAATGGCTATGCGCTCTTGAAACAATTTCTTATTATTTAAGAGGTAATATTTTCAAGACATTCTTTTTAGTTTTACAGCTTGATGAAACCTTTTTGTTTGACATCAGATAATATTATATGTTATAGATAATATGGCCATCTGAGTGTGTGTGGTACTGTTTGTGGTTTGTTTTTAACTGTTTAATACAGTTAATTATTCAAAATGTCAGAGTTCCTTATTTTTAAACTGAAACTTGCACTACTGTTAAAAAATAAATAACAACAAACCTGGAATTATGCATTTGGGACTTTTTTTGCTTTTTCTTGTTGTACCGAAGCCGTACCGAACCGTGACCCCCAAACCGAGGTACGAACCGAACCGTGACTTCTGTGAACCGTTACACCCCTAGTATACAATGTTGTATAATTCAGGCTATCAATGATATATGAGCAAACCCTTCTGTAAAAGCCTTCATAATATTGATAGGAATATAACTGGAAGGTTTGGTGTATGTACGTGCTACTGAAGTTGAAATTTCAAACTCAGAGTAGGAGAAAAAACTCATTTTGAGAAAACAACCTTTAAAGATTGCAGTGAAGCGCTAGCTTAACCCTCCTGTTCTTTGGATGACAGCTTGCGCATCGACGCACTCAGTGAAGGTATTTCATGTTCGGGGTCATTTGTTTTTTGTATAACCTTGCTTCGTGCAAGTGACAATTGTTGTCGTCTTCTCTGTGAATGTTTTTTTCGCCGTTTTTTTGCCATTTTGAGATTTCAATTTCTAGCGGAAAGCTAACCAGGAAGTGTTTTAGCCAACCCAGTCTCATGGCATTTCGTGTTCACCAACACGATTTTTTATCTATTGATTCGTGTTCACCAACACGATTTCCCCCTTTTTTTCGTGTTGCACAGCACGATTTTAAAAGCAATGTATTTCTACGGGTAATGTGTTTCGTGCCTGCAGCACGTCGTTTTCTCCGGTCGGGTCGTGGAAGACCGGAAGCTGTGTGGTTCATAAAAACATGTTCTTACTCAATATCAAGCCACAATTATTGCTTTTATTTTAAATCGTATAATTTTGGACTTTTGTTGCCGTCTGTAAGGAAAATAAATGCTGCTAAGAGCCTCAGAATACTGAAATCTGTATTTTTTAAATCTTTTTTTCCTTCTAATTTGTTATTCTTTTACTCACCAATAACACACAATTATCCTTCCTTTTATTTATTGGTTTAATTTCATAATCTCGTGCTTTTTTGGCGTCCGTCAGGAACTGAATTTCAAAATAAAAATAACCGGAAACAGACGTAGGCATTTCGAGCGATTACCCAAGATCCTCAGCTATGGTTTAAGCTCGCTGATTGGATGTTTTAGCCGCAATGCATGCTGGGATTTGATGTTTATATGATATGAAATCCGGAAAACATTTAAAAAGAATAAAATAATACTTAATTCCGAGTGTTCTTGCTTTTCTCTTTGAAAGTCATCACATAACGGCATTGTAATACACGGTTCGGCTGCATTACATATTACAGATCTGCCGTAGTTCTTTATTTATAGAGCCCTGATGAGAAGACCTTTGGAAAAACTGGAAGAAATGCCGCCGAAACTGAATACTTGACGTGGATCATAAATATATCAACAATTAAACAACATCTTCAATTTCTCTTCACACTTCAATGTCTCCTTGCAGTATCAACACTAATTCGGCTGACTTTTACATTTGATCTAATTCATAGATAGGTTATATTTACACCATAACGCTGCACAGCTGATATAAAAGGACTTGTAGTTTTTAAAGATATTACTGATTTTCTTTGAATATAAGAATGTAAATACTGAGTCTGAAATAGAATAGCAATATGCTGTAAAATGATGTGAAAGCATGAATAAAACTACACATCTTCAGATGTTGTACATAAGTGTCCGACACTAATAATACAAAGTTATTATGGCTGTGTGTACCTTGTGTGCACCGCCTAGTGGTTAAAGCACGTTATTGAATTATTGTTTTGATGTGTTATATTTGATAAAAAAAATATTAAGCGTACATACTTTCATAGGGGGAAAGTAGAAGGTCTCTGATAGAAATATAGAATATAATGTTCTTGCCTGCCGTGTCTCGCCTTAATTATATGTTTTAAATGTGAGTGTTTCCTATCCCCTAAACCTCCAGGGATGTACACAGTTTAATACTGGCAACTTCTTATTATGGGAAATACGAAAACGTCTTTTAAAACTACAATTCCCAGTAGAGACGTGCCATAGAACATGTTGCGAAACACACAATTGCCAGCATGTGTAGTTATGGGGACGGGGTGGGGGAGGGGGGATGGGGACCCTGACATAACGTCAACATAGGCTGAGTTGGGAGTGAGAATGTGTTGCCTCTTGCACTTTATGCATCTCTTATCATCTCTTGCACTTAATATGTCGTTGCTGCTATAGTGTACTGCCATGTGGTAAATACTTGTGTGTGCTGCTCTTGCTCTTTTGCATATCATGTATTTATTTTATGCTTTGTTTACAAATGTTATGTTCTTATATGTTGTATGTCAGGGACTACGGATGGAAATTAGCTCAAAGCTAAAATCCGGCATATTTACACTTGAAGCATTATTTGTCTAAAGTGTTCATTAATGTGCATTGTCACTATTCAAATAAACGATTAAATGAAAATTATCTGTATTTATAAAACTTTCCAAATAACTATATTTTCTATGGCATACTCATAAATGGTCCATGATATATTTATATTTATTCTGTTTTGTGTCTGTATAATACTGTCTTATTTATACAATATCTATAGTGTATTAATTTTCTACTATGCTGTTTGTAATGTCTATTCTGCCTCATAGTGTAAATACTGTCAGATTAATTTATATTGTACTAAAAATCACTTTACTGTTTTGCACTTCTGGCTAGATGCTAATATGTGTGTCCTAGTACTTGTACTCTGTGCAATGACAATACAGTTGAATCTAATATAATCTAATCTATTTTTTTTAGATGGCAGGGTTGTCACTGTGTCCCCATCACACTGATTGTCCTCGAGAAATTCCTCGACAAAGTCACTACCATCGAGGCATAACCTCAAGCCACATGGCCAGCTCAGGAGGAAGCCATTTTGTGGCTTTCCCACTGCATCTGTTGATCCCTGTGGATACTTCCTGCCTCCTATGTTCTATGAAAGATGAGATGAGTGCAGACCACCGGGTAAGGGCGGGATGCCTGTCCCCGGGATGCAACAACTGGAGTCATCTGGGGGCCTAAACGTGGCCAAAGGATCTGGAGCAGCCTGTCCTCCTCCAAAAAATGACCAAATAGGTTGATTGTTCAACAGTTTATTACGACACGTTTTAAAGTTTAGCACCTCTAGTGGTCGTGTAAGAAACAACAATTTGCGGCATATGGGCTGATGCTCCCGTTGACTGCAAACGCTCCGGAGGGTCGTTATTCACAAATAACCCTCTCTGGAAAATACTAAATTGTAGGATAGTTTGGCCATTAGGGGCGGTGGTGGCGAAGTCCATAGGGACTTGGCTTGGCAACTGGAAGGTCACCAGTTCAAGTCCCGGCAAGACCAAGTGCTACCGAGGTGTCCCTGAGCAAGGCACCGTTCCCCACACTGCTCCACGGGCGCCGTTCAAAATGGCAGCACACTGCTCCTAACACAGGATGGGTCAAATGCAGAGAAACAATTTCCCCACGAGGGATTAATAAAAGTCCATCTTCTTCTTCTTCATTAAAATGCTTTTTGATTAGATTTCTAGCGAGAAGTGTATATTGTACTTTTAGAATCTACGTCCAGTCGATGTGTAGAATCTATAGTTTAATAGTTAATACGAAGATTATTTGAGGTCTCGTCAGGAGAACGTTAATTTACTACGTCTTTCCCCACAGCATCCATGTAAGGTTAGCGTCAACCCTCACAGGGTGAAAACAGTATTTCCGGTCTAGAAGTTTTCATAGTAAAACCGGAAATATTCCCCTCACTGTCAAGTGATTTTACAATCATATCTGCAGTACTCATTAGGGATGTAACGATACAAAAAACTCACAGTACGATAATATCGCGATAAAAAGTCCACGGTACGATATTTATCGCGATATCGGAAAAAAATGTGAATGTTTTCTTTGTAATTTTCTTTTTTACTTGAATTGTTTTTCTTTATTAAATAATAAATCTGATTTGTACAACATTTTAGTAGGATAGTATTTTAAAGTGTCAACAATAGAATAAATCAAGTTTCACTTTAGTGTTTCAAGTAACTCAACTCTAACTCACTAACTCACTCACTCAGCATCATCAAGGTTATCTTTTAGGAATATGAGCATGTCCACATTTCGAGGTAGAAGCTGGGATGTTTGGGCGTTTACAATATCCCCTGCTGTGGAAACAACTCTCTTGCTTGGTGCTGATGTTGCTGGGACAGAGAGATATGCTTTGGCCATGGGTGACAGCAGTGGGTAAAACTGTGCATTGTCTCTCCACCACTTCAAAAACAATACAGTTTTTGCCAAGAAGGTGAGGCTTATTGACAGGGCGAGATATAAATATACTGTTCGTACTTGTCAATGTCTCTAGGTATGTACATGTAGCCCTGTAAATACGATGTCCTTTATTGTTATCTGTTATGTTCATGTTGTAACCTACTTGCTGGTTTACAAATGAGATATTAATGTGTAGAACTAAAATATGTGAAATAATATAGCAATATCCTGTAAAATCATGTGAAAACATGAATAAAACTACACATCTTCAGATGTTATACATACACAAGTGTCCTACACTAATTGTCATGGCACACATTCTGTTGTCCAAAGGGTCACTGTTTTTGGTGCCACCTTTTGGTCATTTGTGGCAATGACAGCCATGAATGGTTAAAATTGCCAAAATAAATAAAAGTTATTATGGCTGTGTGTACCTTATTTGTCACATCTTCAGAAACCCTCCTGAACTCATCAGGTTCAACACAAAGCCTCTCATCTTATTTATCAGAGAAAGAAACCGAGACCAGCTCTGTCGCTCCCAACCCAGCCTCACAAAACATTTGTAATAGCTACGTTGGTCCACAGGGCCTAACTGTTAAATGACTGAACTTCATTCTTCTCCCTATTTTACAGCACCCCAATTTGATGATTCTACCCAGTTAGGCATATTCACATAGCTTAGGACAAGTAGTTTTATAACAATTGGTCCCATGTTCTGTAACAGAATGACACGCACTTAAAAAATCACTGAAACCAATGTGCAAAGGTTAACAGTTGAGAGCATGACCTGCTTATAATCTTCAAACTGACATGATGTTACTCTCCAGATTGAGACCTCTCCAACAATGGGTTGTGTTTACTCCTACGACCAAGTTTACATTTAGCCATTTCCTCCACACAGCCTTAGCCCAGGGTTATTTTCCACTGAAGCCTTTCGAGGCTCAACCTCAACAATAAAACTATTACTTTACCATTACTTTTCAAGTTCTAGACTTATGTAATTATCATAGCCAAGCAACAATATGGACTATATCATGAACCTGTATACACCTGTAACAGTCAAAGACAGGCAACTGAGGAGTTGGAATGGTAGTTTCTGAAGATGTTACAAATAGCACACAGCATACAATGCCATAATAACTTTTTATTATTAGTGTAGGACACTTATGTATGTATAACATGTGAAGATCTGTAATTTTATTTATGTTTTCACGTAATTTTACAGGATATTACTATAATATTTCACATATTGTAGTTCTACACATTAATATCTGATTTGTAAAGCATCCCAGACAGAAAGGTATATCCGTCATTTAATGGTAAGCTATTGAAATTCTGATTAAATAGATGTGTCTCCCATCACCCAAAACCCCTGACTATTCTCTCAACTCAGTATTTACATTCTTTAATTAAAAGAAAATCAGTAATATCTTTAAAAACTACAAGTCCCTTTCTATCAGCTGTGCACCGTTATGGTGTAAATATAGCCTATCTACCAATTGGATCAAATATAAAAGTCAGCCGAATTACTATTGATACTGCAAGGAGACGTATTGTGTGAAAAGAAATTGAAGATGTTGTTTAATTGCTGATATATTTATGATTCACGTCACATATTCAGATTTGGCGGCATTTCTTCTAGTTTGTCCAAAGGTCTTCTAATCAGGGCTCTATAAATAGAGAACTAGGGCAGATGTGTAATATTTAATGCAGCCGAACCGTGTATTACAATGCCGTTATGTGATGACTTTCAAAGAGAAAAGCAAGCAAACTCGGAATAAAGTATTATTATTTTTATGTTTTCGGATTTTATATCGCATAAACACCATATCCCAACGTGCATTGCGGCTAAAACATCCAATCACTGAGCTTCAACGATAATTGAGGATTATGTGTAGTTAGATGTTTTCGCCAATCAAAACCTCTGAAAAAAAAATGTGTCTCTCAGAACCGAAAGGGAAAAACCTATGGGAAAAGCATTGTACACAATTTAAACCAATTAATGTCGTGCAATTAACATGGATAATCTGATGTTTTTTTAGTGGATGAGTACTGCAGATATCACTGTAAAATAATTTGACTGAGGTGAATACGGTTTTATTATGAAAATGTTGAGACCGGAAATACTGTTTTCACCCCGTGAGGACGCATTACATGGACGCTGCCGTCAATAGAAATAGATAGAGGGAAAGACGTAGTATATACACTTTATCCTGGCGAGACCTGAAATAATCTTCGTAATATCAATCAAACTATAGATCCTACACATCCACTGGACGTAGATTATAAAAGTAGCCTACAATATACACTTGTCGCTAGAACTCTAATCAAAAAGCATTTTAATGGCCAAATTATCCTACAATTTAGGATTTTCCAGAGAGGTTTATTTGTGAATAACGACCCTCCAGAGCGTTTGTAGTCAACGGGGGTATCACAGCCCATATTCTGCAAATTGTTGTTTCTTACACGACCACGAGAGGTGCTAAACTTTAATAAGCTGTTGAACAATCGACCTACTTGGTCGTACGAGTTGAAGGACTTGTTGGTCTGGAGAGGTAATACTTAGGGGTTAGGGGATAGGCAGGGATGACCTCTGGCATTATCTTTTGGTGACAACTGACAAGGCTTTCTCACCGATCAGCTAACGTGTCTCTGTCCTCAGTGCTTGGGTAGACACACTGCTCAGGTAACAGAAATAATACAGACTGCTCCGCATGTTATTAGTGGGAGACACTAATTATGTTTTCTTTCTACTAGTCCCATATATTTCTTAAAGGTCCCATGTCATGCTTTTCCGGTTATTACCCGTCCCCTTGTGTGTTATGCATGTAAACGGTCTGCAGAGTCAAAAACCCTCAAAGTACACCCTGTGGGGAGTAAAACTCTAACACAGAAAAGACCTCCCCAAAACGCCTCGTTGGAGATTTCTCATTTTCTTCCTGGGTACTCTGACGTGTGAATAACAAGAGGCCACACCCTCTGCCAGCCTTTCACAAACAAAGCTTCCCAAACCTTTCAGCGATTCATGCCGAATATGTACAGCGTAGGGCACTGAAGAATGATGCTGTTCCTACTTTGTTTGGACCAGCGGGAGATTTGGGTACACAACCTGTAAGTATTCATTGTTGTTTGTGTATTTATGATGTTTAAAACAAACAAGGTCTCTACCACGACTGTTTAAATGGGTAAACGTTTTTCGGGCTACTAAGTTGGGATTGCGGAGAAATGCTCTCCGCAGACCCATTCTCACAGCGTTATAAACCTTTTTCTTACTCAATATCAAGCCACACTTATTGTTTTTACTTCGGCTGTGAGTGTTTGTGTGTGCTCAGGATGAGTTTCGCTTGTTCTTGCTGTATCGCCGACCCGGAAGCCTGTCCGCTCCTCGCAGCAGATCGCAGCAACGAGCCTCTCAACGTCCCGACCAATCAGAGCACACTGGGCTCACAGGGAGGGGGGGGGCAGGAGCTCCAACAAGCCGTTTAGGACAGAGAGTGAATACCGGTGAATACACATACTTTACAGAGATGCTGTATGAGAAACCAATGTGAGTTTGGAAAATTGCACAATATAAATCTATTTTAGTAGACCTCAACAATGGAATTATGATCAGTAGAAATGGCCATGACATGGGACCTTTAAGGAAGGAAAATAGCCGAAATTTGAGCAATGAATGATTAAAAAAAAATTCTCAGGCAGTGTCTCGACTTTAAATACAAGTATCAGAACAAATATTTCCACGGCTATAAAACCAGAGTTGTAATGTTTGGGTCAATACTTACCCTGGTGCGTATTGATGAAACATGAAAAATAAAGAACCGACTGTGATCACTTATCTCAATGACAGCCAGTTTAACAGTCTTGTCTCTATATATGTTCTGTTAAACTGTTTTCCCACTGACACATTAACATCTCATTAGAGTATTTTCAGTCAGTTTAACGAAATAAAGGAACACCTTTTCCTTTAAACTGAGAGGTGATGAGACGAC